AGGCAGTCTGTCTCGTGGGTGCTGGAGTGGACAAGTCCGCACTGGATATACTCGAGAAGGGCCGCTTCCGGCTGGCATCTTCGCCAGGACCTGCTAATATTAGTTAGTTACAGTGGCATTTGCTATCAAAACCTCGCAAACTTACTTTGAATCTCCAGCTTGCCCTCAATACTGTTGATTCTGTCGGCTAACTCTTTGATATAGCTAATCACATCCAGTCAGCGACAGCTCAGAGGTTAATGCCAACTAAACTTACCCCTTGCTAGGACCGCGTTTCTGAGGGACACGGCTGAACAAGCAACGAATTCCCGACCGTTTGCAGTTGGAGCATGGGTTGTCTCCAGAGTCCGACTGGGCATCACACTTAACTTTCTTTCTCCTACATTCGTCGCAAGCACGAGACACTTTGGATCGCTTCCTTGGCGGAGTGCTGTCTCCCAGAGCATAGGTCTGGGATAGGTGGTGGTGATCCATTGGAACAGGAACAGAAACATGCTGAGGAAGGGAGTCCGGCAAGGTTTCCTCGGGCACATAGGGTCGGGGAGGAGGCTGGTGCTGAGGCTGCTCAGGGTGTGGCATGATGCTCCGCAGATTGGGGTCTTCGACATTCATGCTAGGATCTGTGACGTGCATCATGGGCTCGGCGGCCAGATCCTGGCCGAGCTGAGCAGCCAGCTGCAGCTCTTCGACGCTGGCGGAGTGAGGCGGCTGTTGCTGGGACGTGGGCGGGGGAGGAGGTTCCTGTTCAGAATCGTCTCTGCCAGCTGAGTGATAGTATGGGCCGGCATCCTGAGCATCGACCGTGGGTGATGGATAGCTCTGCATTCTCTCCTCCGGGATGCGACCATCAGTCATCCCATCCTCTGGCATACGATCATCTTGCATTCGATCCTCTGGCATGCGCTCTTCCGACACATGGTCCTCTGGAATCCTTCCCTCTGTGGCAAGACCCTCATCCTGAAGGGTTTGCGTGTGGAGTCTTTCCTCCTCTGTCTCGCCTTCCCGAATTGAGCTCATGGCAACTTGTATTCGATTGTAGCGCTTGATCTGTGGTTGATGGGGCTTCCGCGGAGAGCGGCGCTGACAAACGTTATAGGGCGCCCGTCGGTATCGCGCGTATGATGCGACAATGGACGCAGACGCGCAGGCTCCAGATCAAAAATCGAGACTCGTGTGTCAAAAGGCAACTCGGGTTTGCGCATCCACAAACACGTCGGCAGTCCGTTGCGGGACGACGCGTCGAGTCCTGGAGGGCAGGGCGACTTCAATTGATGTTCTCTGCAGAAATTTACATGCTTTAGTACAGGTTTCTTCCGAGGTGCACTCGGCACTCTTCCTCTGTCTGCGCTTGTAATTTCATTTCTGTTTTTCTGTCCCGCGACAGCTACACGTCCAGGTCCAACTCCGGCTTGAAGCTCGATCAGAAGGTGAACGGTTGGACGCGTTGTTGTTGACGCGGTCGAAACATTGCGACAAAAATGGGCATCTCTGCAGCTTCCATCTCCAGGCAAGGTGCAATGCAGACGGAACAACAGCTTGGCGGCAATGCGCGTGGGGGTTGGCAAGTAATTGGGCTGACTGACCTCTGCTCTCTTCCAGAAAATAAATAATCCGACGCGGACTTCGTGATGGATCTGCTTAGAGGGCGATCTGGTGGACGGAAGAGGAAGAACCAGGCTGCCGATAGAGGTTGGAAAGGCGTTGATTGATCCGGGGACACGCTGGAGTTTTTGACCTTGGGACCACGGGGACCTCAGTCGGCTCAAGTTTCGGGGGAACTCCACGTGGGGCGCCACCAGTGTCAGGGCTACCTACCTTGCTCCTCAGCTATTGTACACAACGTCATGGGCTGGGAGAAATTTTTTCGGAGACCGGGCACCTAGAACTCCTTCGATTATGTCAGCCATCAGGGACGAGCTTGAGCTCGAGCTCGGGCCACATTAGCTGGCTCAGCATCGTATCTTCGTGCCTGGGAATGGTCTGACTTATTAGTCTTCAGCGACATCAAGGGCTTCGGGACATACAATTTGCCCAGATGCCGGCATGGTGGTGGTACAGCCCAAGAACTGGCCGACAGGGCTAGTCTATCTCACGGCGCCAGTCCACTGCCGTTCACTTAGCGAACCGCAGCGACAGACGATAACACAAAAGACAGCAGGGCTTCCTGAAGTTCAGGTGCAAGACACGGCATTACCGAGTCCTTTGGTCAAAATCACTCCCATTTTTGAGAGCGTCCATCCGGCAAGAGGCCAATGCGGTCTTTTTGCCGCCCGGCATCTTAAACCAGGCGCTTTCATCATTCCTTACCTCGGAACGGTCCATCCAGACTCGCCATCCAAGTCCGACTACGATCTATGGCTGGACAGGGACGCCGAGATTGCCGTTGACGCCAGCACGGGCGGCAATGAGGCCAGATTCATAAACGATTACCGAGGCATTGCCCAGCGACCAAATGCCGAGTTTCGTGAGGTCTGGTGTCACAGGTTCAAGCAAAGATGTATGGCTGTGTTTGTGCTGTCCGAAGGGAAGAATGGCCGCGGGAAAGGCGGTATTGGCAAGGGCGATGAGATTCTTGTGAGCTACGGAAAAGGCTTCTGGGGTCATCGGAAAGAAGAAGAGTGAGAAAACGCGGCTGCGTTGACAGTAAGAAACAACGGCAACTTATAGCCGCATGTTGATTGAATGTTCTATCTAATACAAATTATGCTCTGGAATCAGAGCGTGGATACTAAGACAACACAAAAACACATGAATACCCGTGAAATTTCTCGTGGGGCAGTCGAAATACCATGCCGCTCGCCATACCCAGTGAACCATGTCTCAAACCCCATCCACAATGCATCATCTGCCCCCCGCCATTAAGCCTTGGTAGTAGGAAAGGCTCATGTTAAGCGCATGCTTGAGATGGGCGTCTTCAGTGAGGGGAAGGCTCAATACTCGAGTGACATTATCCTGCAACATGTTAGCCTGGCCATTGATACAAGACTGATTTTAGAGAGAGATCTTACCTGATCATGTCTCGGTACTTCCGCCGTCACCTTAGCCACGAGTGAACCCATCTCAGAGATTGCTGCCAGACTGGTTATATTTCCACTCTCGGCACTCTCTCGCAGAGCTGGCAGGCCGGACAGAAGCCTATCGAGCACCTGTATGGAAATTTGCTGCCGTTGCTTCCGGCGGCTCACAAGCTCCAAAAAGGCCTTGTAGACCTCACCTCCGAGGGCCCAACCAGGAATGACATGGTCGTGGCCTTCGAAACGGGAGAGAGTAACCGCCAGCTCGTCGTAATCGCGGCTGACAACCGCCGATGGCGCGACCTGGTGAACGAGCACATTGTGTGCCTCTGGGTACGAACCGGCTCGGAGTAGACAATGTACTTCGGCTGCCGCGTCTTTCTTGACAGCTCTCATATACAGGGCTTGAGCTTCCCAGATCCAAGAAGTCGGTATCTTGAGTGTCTGCGATAGAGTTGTGAAATTGCTCCCCGTCTCGGATCCCAGTAGGGCCGCATGCCGACAAAGATTCTCCTGCACAGCCTTCGCTCGCATGTCTGGGTTGCCGAGATGTAGCAAGACAAACGTGGCTTCCAGCCAGCTTCCTTCGCTGACGAGCTGGTCGGCAAAAGCGATGGTCGAAGCATCGGCCTTCTCAGACGCGTTGTGGCCGTAGGATACCTTATTTGTGGATAGCAGGGCGCGACTGAGCTGCCAAGACAGCCGAATGTCTAGAGGCGACAGCTGACTATTCTCCGGTCGCAGTACAGCTTCCAAGTCAGTCTCGGCATCTGAATACAACTTCAGGAGACCCCACAGAAGGTCCTCGCGAGCTTCTGAATGTCGATCGTTCCAGAGTGCCGGTATGCCTTGTTCAAGATACCATGTCTGAGGACGCTGTTCTCTGTCTTGAGTTATGTCTTCCTGGAACAGACGAACGGCTGCCGAAAGGTGATCATTGCGTGAAATAGAATACCAGAGCCTGAGCCCAAAGGCCTGCTTCCAATCTAGGCCAAAACGCTGTGAGATGATGAACGACTCAATGCGGTCTTCGAGAGGTACTGCTTTCTTTCCCTCGCACACGCCTGAATTACCGCTCAGCAATTCATAAATGGCGCGTAGGGGGTCGGCAAACTCGGAGAGAAAGTTGGCGTCTTGCCACTCATTAATTTGTTCGCGCATGTCCTTTTTAGCCTGATCATTGCTGCCAATCAGCGAGACCAAGGTTGCGAGGCGAAAGTTGTTCCCATCCAAGAGGTACTTGCACGCGTCTTGGATGCGGTGCCCTGACAAAGCTGCAATGGCCTTCTCTTCGCTAGACCTTGCAAGCGCAACCGATCGAGATGATGCAGAATTAACGAGCGCCGCCCAAAACTTGGACAAACGACTCTTTCGAGATTCGTTCCCCAGATCTTCATCGGCAGAGGCGGGTCCGTCGAAAAGAATGCTGGCGAGCTCCCAAACCAACCTTTCATGTGCGTTGGCAGGGCTGGTGGTGTCTTGGTCGTGGAAAAGAGACATGAGGGTATCGGCATGTAGAGTCGTTCCGGGTACGCCCCCAGTGAGCTCTACTTGCGTCATCTTCACCTGATTCTTGAGAGCCTTTGCAGAAGCCTGGGACCAGTTAGCTCCATGAACCATGCCATTATCTCGTTCCCCTCTGACTTGCCTCATTGGAGAATTTGGCCGCCTCAATAAATCGTCCTCGTGCTTGAACAACGTTCCTCGTCAACATGAGATCATCCGTCTTGGTGCGCCTGGATGGTGCACCAAGAGGCTCGCGAGTCGTTGCAAAGATCAGAGTTCCATCTGGTCCCCAGCTTGGTCTCATGGCGTTGTGGAAGGAGCGGTCGGCTTCACTCATATTGGACTGGTCAGCAAAGGACTTGGTCTGTCGTTCATAGGGCCACTAGACGAAAATTTGCCTCAGTAAGATCTCCAAATTAATTACACAAAGCCGCCTGGTATTCTGGCCCGAACGGCGAACAACGAATGAGAGGGGGGTCCCTAGACCATGAAGTATTCACCAACCTGAACAAATCCTCTCGAGGGCGCGGCGGTGGGAGCCTTGGCCTTCTCAAACAGCGAGTTCATCAAATCGATGCTGGTCGCAAAACCGCGTCCGTCTGACACAACACGCCCCTTTTGGCCCATCTCTGTTTCTGCCGCGTGCGATCGCGATGCTATCTCATTCACACTTCGCAAGAACGTTCGGTCTCTCTTCTGAGGGCTAACGGATCTTTGCAGCATATTCATCCATTCGTCTCCTCCGGCAACTTGCAGCTTGATAGGAGTGGCTGAACCCTTCAGCGCTCGCATTCTGGCTCGCAGAATGCCTCCGGGAGTTTCGCTGGCTGGGGCAACCATGTCACCATCTGGCGAGTCAATTGTCTGCTCCGCAGCAAGATGGCGTCTGAAGTGAGTTCCCGCCGTATCCTCTTCCTCAGACATACCATATTCGACATCATGCTCGTCAACCGGTTCATCTTCCGTTGAGAGAACCAGAGCGTTCGAGGTCGAACCCGCGAAGCTATCTTCTAAAAAAGACTGGGGTTGGAACGGACGTGTGAGATCATAATGCTCTTCTCCCGTATACTCTTCATCCCTCTCTTCAAAAGCACCAGGGAGAGCGCGTCGTTTGTTTCTGCGAAAGTCGAATGTGTCATTCTCCCCAGGGCTTGCCTCGGAGTCACGAGAACGTAGCTGGGGAAGGGCGCCGTGCCTTTGGTTGTCGCGAACCAAGACGTCATCCGACTGTTCGGGTTCTTCTTCGTCCTCGTCGTAGTCCAGACCGTACGTAGTGAAGTGCTCGACCGAGAATTTCCAAACGCCAGTATCGGGGTTGTACTCTTCGAAAGCGGTGTTCTCAATGCGCCTGAGACGTTCGACATGCTTGGCAACTCGCTTGACATCATGGCCAGGGCGCTTCTCTCTACCACGTGGCCAGGACTGCTCCAAGGAGATCAGAGCAGGCACATTCAAGCCCTTGCCAACAGGAGGTTTCTTGGCGGCGATAGGATATACAGTCGCAGACCGGGTTTCGAGAATGACGATCCCTCCGAATATTTCATCGAGGTCAATGTTGGTCAAATCAACCTCGGGTTTGAACTTGACAGATCCAACGTTATCTCTTCCCACGGTGAAGCTTCCAACTCTCTGCCGCTGCATTCTAGTCATGCCAGCGATAGTCTCTTTGGTAGGACTCATCCAGTATGAGCCAGGGGCCTTATCGAGACCATCGTTGGCCACTTCCGGTATCTGAGACGAAACGTCTTCTTCATGAACGATGGCGAGTTCTTTGCCCTTGACCTGTTCCGCGTCTCCGGTAGGGGGTTTTGATCCGTTGACACTGATGCTAGCAGTAGTCAAGTCTTGGGGAAGAACACTCCTGGGCGTCGAGGCGTTGGTGGGTTCAACGTCGTCAGCCTCCGGAGCCTCCACGTTGCTGGTGTCAAAGCTTACGCGCTTCGACAATTTCCGAGACCCATTGAGTTGATCTGCAGACGGCTTGTCCTTGGTCGGCGTAGAGAATAGGTCACTACGCATGTCTTTGTTGATTATCAGCTTCTTGACGCTGCCATTGCTCCCGTAGTAGCGCGGTCCAGAGCTAGCCGAGAAAGCGCCAGGCGCGAGGATGCTATCTTCAGCATTGAAGCTTCTCCTCAGGTTGCTAGTCGACACGCTCTTGCTTAAGCTTCGATTGAGGCTCGACGACCCCAACAGGCTGCGGCTGGCTCCTCCCGGAGTGCTAGCGGCGCTGGATGGGCTACCGCCAGGAGTGCCGTATGTGCTGTATGAGAATCCGAACCCACGCTTCTGAGGGGTGACAAAGCGGGCAGCGGAGGCAGGGTTTAGTTTGTACATCGGAAGGATGGAGCTGCGTCTCGGCTTTGACTTGTTAGACAGGGGCGTGGCCAACGGTCCTGGGTTAGGCGTCTCAGCACCTGAGAGATTGGAGAACAAGGACGGCGACCCGAAGGCCGAAACATCAGTGATGTTGGCTGTCAGCGACTGAGGGCCTGAGTTGATTCCTTGAGTATTGCCTATGATGGAGCCACCGAGAATAGAGCCTTGGTGCTGTTGCTGTGCGTTATTGCCGCCAAACAAAGAGCCTTGCTGTTGGGTGTTCTGTCCACCAAACAAGCTGTTGCCAGCGGGCTGTGAAGTACCAAACAGACCGGGCTTTGCCTGGTTCTGACCGGCGGCCCCGAACAGAGAAGATTGGCCTGTCTGTTGCGCCTGGGGATTTGTGCCCATACCGCCAAACAGACCCCCGCCAGCGTTCGTGCCTTGACTTGCCGCATTGGATCCAAACAGACCACCGGTAGCAGCGGGTTTGGATCCAAAGAGACCGCCACTTGAGTTGTTCGTGCCTGCTCCGCCGAAGGAGTTGTTAGGGGCGCCTCCACCGCCAAAGAGTCCGCCGGTAGTCGACGTTCCACCTCCTCCGAAAAGACCACCGCCGCCCGTGGCCGGCTTTTGCTGGTTGCCGAAAAGAGACGAGCCCGCTTGCTGCTGATTCTGCGCGCCAAACCCACCTCCGCCAAAGACTGATCCAGTTCCTTGCTGCTGACTTTGGGCTTGATTGTTGCCAAAAAGTCCAGTTCCATTGGACTGGCCAGCGTTGCCGAATAACCCGCCGCTAGTGCCCGTATTATTGGTGGTGTTGTTCGAACCAAATGCGCTGGTCGTGTTACTCGCTCCGAATCCACCGGTCGTGGCCCCGGTGTTGCCGAAACTAAAGCCGCCGGGTTTGGCTTGGTTCGCAGCGGTATTGTTCGATCCAAAGAGTCCTCCTCCGGTAGCATTATTGTTAGTGGACCCGAATCCACTGGTCGTGTTTGTGGTACCGAATCCACCCCCCGAACCTGTGCCAAACAGCCCGCCCGACTGAGCGGGCTGAGATGTTGTCGTGCTGCCGCCTCCGAACAGGCCTCCAGTAGCTGGCTTGGGCTGGTTGCCGAACAGACCGCCTCCGGATCCGAACCCTCCAACGGAACCACCGCCGAAACCGGTGGTCGTGGCCGTCGTCGCACTCGTGTTGTTGTTGGCACCGCCGAACAAGCCACCTCCGGTCGAAGCACCCGATCCAAAACCTGCAGACTGCTGGTTAGTCGCACCAAAGCCAGTGCTGCCAAAGTTGGAAACACCAAAGGCGCCTGCTCCGCTGGCATTACCATGACGGCGTCCCTGTGCGTAGTCAGCCAGTCTCAACTCTTCCGCAGACCATTTCTTGTACGGTTCTTGGAAGAGAATGTTTTGGAACGCGTTTGACTGATTTCCAGCTCCGGCAGTTTCCTTTTCCTGGTGCGCTTGGAACGGTGTGATGGCCGTGCCAGGAGGGTCGCCAACATTTGAACCGATGCCCGGGTTTAGAGATGCGCCAAAGCCTCCAGTGGTGGCGGCGTTGCCACCGAAGCCGGTGCCAGAGTTTCCGCCGAACAAGGACGTGGTGCCGGTGGCAGTGGTGGTGTTGTTCGTCGTGGAGCCAAAGGCAGGCTTGCTGGCGCCGAACAGATTTCCGCCAGATCCTCCAAAGGGAGATGACGTACTTGCAGTTGCATTCCCGCCAAAGCCTCCAAACCCAGAAGAAGGGGTAGTAGTGTTGGTATTATTATTGTTGTTGGAGCCGAAAAGGCCGCCTCCAGTAGACGTAGAAGCTCCGAAAGCAGGTTTTGAGGCTCCGAAGGTTGTGTTGGTGTTAGAACCGAAACCACCTAGGGTAATGGATAATTAGTATACTGCTCAATGCAGATAAAAGGAGCATGTCGGATGTAAAACTCACTTGAAGAGGTGCCACCACCGCCAAAGGCACCAGTAGTGTTGCCAAAAAGGCCACCACTCGTGTTGGTATTGTTGGTAGACCCAAAGGCGCTGTTCGTAGCAGTACCAGATCCAAAGCCTAGTGGGGATGGTTGATTAGTTTGAATGAAGCTTTGCGACAGAATCGCTGGTGGTTGCGACGACGCAAGTTTTGCCTTACCTGTACTGGTGCTGGTCGCGTTGTTGGCTCCGAAGCCGCCAAAGCCAGTTGACTGTTGGCTGTTGCTCTGGCCAAAGCCGCCAAAGCTGCCGCTGCCAAAGCCAGACATGATGGATGCAGGCTAGCAGCGACTGTTGGTGCTGAGGTTGAGGATGAGGAGAATGAGTGCGAGAACGCGCACTAGGGGATCTGAGTCGCGGACGCAGGTGAAGTCGCCTACAATCAATTATGGACGGTCATGCAGTGCGGTCGGATCGGAAGCGGCCGTCGGTGTTGATGACCGGTGGGCGCGTCGGGCGGATAGGTTGGCGACGTGACGTGGGAAGCTGTGGTGTTGTATACAGCTGGTCGAGGAGATTTTTCTCCCTTTGAGTGTCGCGCAAAGGCACGGAACAGAAAGAAGAGGTACGTGGAGAAAAAATGGCTGGGGTGGGTAGAAGGGATGCTACAGCGCGTCGCTTGCAGGAAGGTACAGAAGTACTGTATCAAGCCAGAGGGACCGGGGGTGGGGCGGCAACCAATCAAACCGGGCAGGGTAAAGAAGAGCTGAGCCGCGATGGAGATGGGTAATCACCTAGAAGCAGCAAAACTACTCTCGATGTTACAGATGAACAGTCAGTTAGAAGAGAGTGGTCGAATACGCAGATTGTTGTCCTTGATGAGTGAGGTGCAAGCAAAGGGATTGCTACTTTTTATGAACTTGGGCGGAATGCCGTCGCCTTCACTGGGCGTTCTGAGTCCTAGGCACGTACTGGCTTAGTAATTTTCGACCATTCAAGTGGAGACCTAGAGCATCCACCTGGCGTAGGTAGCTACTCGACGTTGCTGCCTGAGGACAGCAATGTCCTGTGATTGGGCCAGACAAAAGAGCTTGCCGGCTGAGCCAATAGCAAAGCTGGCAGCGAAGTTCAGGCAGGAGCAGGAGCGATCATGTGCAGCTTCACCCTGCCTCAACTGACCAAAGGTACCTCAGCTATATTTACAATTACACATTACTAGCGACTTCACAGGCCATACGAGCGTGGCATCCAATAGCTCTACAACCGTCACCATGAATCTCCACAACCTGCATGCATGTTATCTGGCCTGACTCTGCGATTTACTCACAGCAATAACCATCACAGACCGTCCTCTCTCCCCAGTGGGAACCCTTCACTATGCGCACAAGGTATCGCAAAACATGATGACGAGTAGCTGATGACCACGAAAAGATCACTGACCGCAAATCCAGACAGCAGAGAGAGATGGAGAGGGAGAGAGACAGACAGCCAAGCGATAATAAGAGTGATAAATAGCACGGATGTTTGAGATTTTGGCCTCAGAAGGAGGGGATCACACCCCAATAAGAGTAAGAAAATTTATCCCACGCCAAACCTCTAAGTAAGAGAACGTGTGTAAGATACGATACGATACGAATGATAATCTGATTTTCCTGTCGCGCTACCTGCAGCCTGTTCTGATAACGCCAATGACACGTAGGCAGCAGTTGCCGGCCGCACATCTTCCTGGCGCACTCCGTACAATCGACCCGAAAGCAGAAAAGAAGAAAAAGACAAAAGGGACTAAAATTGTATGAGGTCTTGCGCCTGGGTGTTCTGCTGTTGCGGCCGAGTCGCTGCAAAAGGATTGTTGCTACCATTGATTCCCGCCGGTCCTGTCGCAGCAGGCATCTGAGCGCCATATGATATATTGGGCATACCGGTAAACTGGGATCGAAGGAATGGATTGCTTCCCGTCGCTTCCGCTGTCAGGCGATTGGCACCTGCTCCAGCACTATTGACGAATGTCCCAGGCGCTGTGTGTTGTGCTGGGATACGCGTCTGACCCGTGTTGCCGAATGTATCCATGCCATCACCACCAGCAAGCAGTGCATTCAACTTCGCCTCATGCTCCGTCAACTCCTTCTGCGGAGCGCCAAAGGCAGCAGATCCCTGGTTCGGCTGGTTGAAACTGGGCTGTGGTTGGTTGAACGTCGAGAGTGTCTTTTGTTCCGGAAGACTGCCAAGAGATGGCATCGCTGGCATGGGAGGCTGACTTTGAGGCTGCGGGCGACCGAATGATGATGCGAATGGATTGTTCGACCCTGTTTGCATAGGCTTCATGGGGTTCCCAGCCTTCATGGTGCCTGTCGACCAAGGGTTGTTGCTTCCTGGTTGTGCGACAGGCTCTTGAGCAGGGCTTTGAACTTGTGATTGGGCGTACGGATTGTAGCCTGTCGGCTGAGGCTGGAACCCCTGCATACTCTGTTGTTGCCCGTAAGGGTCCATATTCATGCCCTGTTGTGGCATTCCGAAGCCGCCGCCGTAACCGTTCTGGAATCCAGTCGCTTGCGGTTGCTGGTAGCCCGTATAGGCATTCGGCATGAAGCCTGTGGGCTGCGGCTGCAACTGACTTTGATCGATGGGATTGGCAAAGAAATCAACAGCGCTGCCCTGCTGATAACCTTGGTTGAACCCAGTGTACTGCGGCTGCGTCGATTGCGTCGGTGTGTCGTCGAATAGCAAAGACGCGTTGCTGTCCTCCATCTCTCGCCGACGTCGCTCGTCCTCTTCTTTGCTAAGCTTGATAGCCTTGGCAAGGTCATCGTCCTCGGCTTCGTTCGCAGCGCGGCTCGCGCGTTTTCTACGATCCTCCTCCTCCTGGTGCTTACTGGCCTCGATGGCGAGCCTGTACTCCGTGTCGTCCTCATTGCTTTGACGACGACGAGGCCGCGGCTGCGTGGGTCCCATCTGCTGAGGTGCGAACTCTTCAAGGCCGGTGACGCGAGATTTCCATGACTTGCGGTCACTTCTCTCAGCCCGTAGCCGTTCTTCGTCCAGGATGAGCGCGGTCAGTTCCTTTGCAGCAACACGGACTAGTCCGCCCAGTTAGTCAACGAATACACGGTAGAATCTGCTCAACAAAAGAACCATACCGTTTTGGCCAACATCTCTGCCGTCTTCATCAATGTACTGGAACTCGCGCAGTGTCTTAATAATATAGATGCTTTGTCTCGCCCACGTAACGACAAGCTCAGACCCTTCATGCAGGCAATAGTCAAGCACCTTCAGGGCTTTCAAAACGTGTCGCCAATTCTTGCCCTTATCGTTGAGACGTTTGTCTAGCATATCCATGATCTCGTAAAACTCGGTCGATCTGTAGATAACCATTAATGCGACGCCTGATTCATGGGCAGGGAGAAAACCCACGTGTTGTATGTCAGCTGAGCGATTTCACTCATCTGAGTGCCCGTCGGACCCCATGGATCATTACTGGTGGCTAGACAAAAGATGATAGTTAGCCACTGGCCACAAGTGTACTCAAATGGACTGACGCTGTGTAGGACGCACCTTCTCGGACTTTGACTTGGACACTTGAGTAGCCCTTGGTCACATTTTTGACACTGCGGATGACTTTGGACATTTTGACGGCTGGTTTTTATCGTAATTTGATGGCAGGCAATGGCCAATTAAGCTCGCTTCGTAAACGAGGCAACAGACTGTTGGGCGATATCGGGGCCGTTGGTAGGATGTTCCGGTGAACTGTCGGGAGCGTCGGGAGGCCGATGAGAAAGAAGTCGGCAAGATAGCCTTCCGACAGGTTCTAGAGTGCGTAAGTTACCAAGCGCAGTCGGGCGAGAAAGCGCTTGGGCCCAACGCAGGCGAGTCGTCGGCGGACAGACAAGGTCACCTGTATTCGCCGGTGATGTTTGGGTGCTGAAGGCAGCAAGATCGACGCGGTCAGCGAGAACCGCAATATTACAACGTAGCTGAAGACGGAGAGGGGCTGCGGTCGGCAGTTCGTCGACGATGGAGATTGTGGTTGACGAAATACCTTTTGGGCCGGTCCCACGAGTAATCGAAATGACCGTTGATGGGGCGCTCGGCGTCGCAAGCGGGCCTGGTTGCAGAGGCCAAGGCAGTTGTTACTGGACGCCTGTGGGAAATTGAGCACCCTTGTTAGTCGATCACTTGTAACCCGGAAGGAGGTGAACGAGTGAATGATTGAATGGGTCGAGACGCTCAGTCGTGGGAGGGTAGAGGGGGCGGGAAAGAGGCAAGTGGAAGAAGAATGGCGGCAAAAGGGCCAGAGGCGATGCCGAATGACACGGCAAGGCGGCTTGACAGGGCAGAGCTTCCTCTCAATCCTGTACAGCACGCAAATCGCGATATGGTAACAACGGTCCGACTTGCCTGTTTTGCTAGGAGTGCCGATGGCCAAAAATCGGGCACAGGCACGATGTTTGGATATACGGTGTCGGGAAGGTTGGGGTAAGGTGATTACAGATAAGTTGGATAGATGACAGGTCAGGCCAAAAGTCAAGTTTGGTTTGCGAATGGAGAGTGTCACGCCTCTGGCAGTGCCCCAGTATGTGCGGCGAAGGGTGCTGCGTAATGCGACTTGGCGAGCGGAGACACGACTACGCACCAGAGCACCTGTGCTCGCTCCGCCTGTGCCTGCACTCGGCCTGTACCTGCACCTATCGTACCTTACCTACCTCGCACCTCACCAGTACCTTCTCTGCATAGGTACAGCAACCTGTGGGAATGGGCTCTTGGAATCAATCAAACGGCACTGCGCGCCCCCGAGAGCTGGCGCCTAAACGCACAAGCATCCCGACAACCATCACCGTCGCGCCCAAAGACGTCTTGATTAACCTCTGGGGTCTTGAGTAAGAAACCCGTATGGCGAGGTGAACATCCTGACTATGGCTTTTAGCATCGGATAGGTGCCCAAGTCATGCTGGCTCTGAGCTGGCCAAATACGCACCTATGGCTGGCTGATGAGGTCACTGCTACCTTACGGTCCTCACCCTAGGTAGGGCCTTAGCTACGTACTTTACTGGGCTATGGGTTCCATCATTGTAAGGTACCTACCTACCTCAGGAGGAGTGTAGGTGCCTTAAGGTTGTATGTGGATAGGTACGATGGTTACCTAAGTGCCCAAGGCATATCAAGGTACCTAAGGCACCTAGGTAAGGTTAGGTATGGAAGTCCCTGAGGTCCTCACCTCACGACCCGCGTTGGCGCCTGCTCCCCAGTCGTAAATTGGAAGGTGCCTTAGGTACAGCGAAGTGAAGCAGGGTTACCTTGGGGCCGTTTTGGAAGCTGAGCCGCCATTATTTCGTTC